CTCCTTCAGTGAGGCGATAGGATGGCTCTGCTTTATTGTTGAAACAGGCTCAGCTTGTGTTACAGGTGCCAGGTTGCAGCACTGATGGAGTCATGAAAACAGAAAATGATTAGACATGTTGTGGTGTGCTGTTGTTGAATACTGCATCATTATAAAGGAGGAGCGTGGAGCGTGGAGCGTGGAGCGTGTGCCTCTGACTGCTACTGTCAGGCCAAAGCTTTAGTGAAATAAAGAGTCTGGATTACTTTGGATTCTTCAGATGATTAAACTGCTCGCTGATAAATTTCTGCGTTCTGAGCAGCTCACAGTGCCTACATGCCTGTGTATGAATAAAACACTGTAATTGGTTATAGTTTATTCTGCCACAGGATTGTTTGTATCTGCTGAAAAGCCTCTTGGTTTGTAGCTGAGCCACCCGGGGAAGAGGAAGTGCAGCCTGTGGTTTAAGCCTGAGATCGTCCATTTAGCAAATGTCTTGTTTTATCTTATCATCACGCAGCAGAGAGTTCACAAGAAATACAGAGGAAGAAAAACCACTGTGGAAATTCCACTTTGTACACTTCCTCTTTGTGTATGACACAATTTTTATATTATCCGCATGCACTGGAATATTAATAATAATCATTATTGCTACATGTAAGTACACATGACGCAGCATGAAAACAGATCAAATGTAGAGTCACTGTGGTAACAACACAAGAAAAAAAAGAAACCTGACACCCTGAAATACAGCTGCCTTTAAGAGCAGACATTTCAACACTTGCTCCTTGTTCTTAGACATTTTTAGGTTTCATATCTTGAAACATCAAAATCCGTCCTTGAATATCGACAGATATTGAAATTTGTATAAACAACCACAATCTATTTTCCCTCTTCCTTTTTGTTGCAATAAAACAAACCCAAACAGCAATAATAATAATAATATCTCCTGCTCACGTGTAAACTCAGGCACGACTTCTCTTATAATCTCCAATAAACATAATAAAGTTGGTGGCTTTAAAGAAACCAAAGGAAGGATTCTTAAATGTATGAGAGGAGATTTCCAGACAAAAATACAAAATAAAAACAGACTGATGAAGATGTTGTGACCAAGATGTTTTTAGAGCCACAAAAATGTCGTTAAATGAACAATAAAAAAAAGACACACACTAGTAGCAGCTTTTTTCTAAATAAGATCATGAATACCAGAATTAAATGTAATTATAACGTCATGTTAAACAAAGAGGGACGTGTGGTCACGTGAATGAGCAAAGATGGCTCGTCTGGGAGAACAAGCACGTCCTCACACATGTATGCGCAAAAAACAAGCCAGTCTATTACTACTTATATTTAAAAAGAGTAACGACCGAGGGCATCAAAAATATTATGAAAGGTTGTTTATTCCATACAGTCCAGCCGAGATAACCACGTCTCTTAGAAAGACGCCGAGCAGACGCCACACAGCTTCCTGTGAGGAGACACTGCACCAGTGTAACGCACACTGTACAGACAATAATGACAAAATTAATATAATTATCAGATGACTCACTCGTGTTTGAAATCAATT